AAGATTTGTTTAATCCTGATGAATTAACCGCATTGGGTTCACACTGTTAAAAGATAAGTGCCTCCACAATGCAGGAATTGCCGGTTCAGACCCTCTTTCTGGGGAGCATCCTCTAGGATTCTGACGTCACAAACTTGTTCGCTTGTCCTTGTATCTCTAGTGTAAAAAAGATAAACCTGCTCCTATTAGAAATTAAATTGTTACAGTTTCTGGGAAGAATGTCCACATGCATACGTAGAAGCAGCTTATGTTACTTGCCTCCTACCATGTTGGACACATTTTTCCCACTTGCAGGAAAGATTTCCTGCAAGTGGCAAAAAGAACTGATCATTTCGGGGAATTAAACCCACAGGTGCTAGGTTTATTTACAATAAGACTTCGGCAGAAGTTCGGCTTCGGCTGATAACAAACTTCGGCCTTGATAATTTTTTATATAATGTTGAAATGTTCAACCTGTTTGAATAATTGTTAAATATCACTTCTACTTTGGTTTTCTTACGAATTATTTAGCTAATTTTCCAAGTTCTGGCAAGACAAACACGTTACGATCTCACTGTGAAATTTATTGGTGATCCTGAGTTAAACGTTTCTTCCAGAGACATTTTAGAGGTAGTTGTACACTTTGATATTTCTTGGGAGCTGTATCGAAAAGATTCCAATTCCTTTAAAATCTGTACAGTCCTTCAATATCGCTAAAATGCTTGAAAAATCCTATAAAACGCTTTAAAAATTCTTTGGGATTTTAAAATTCCCAAAATCTTAGCTCGTTAGTTCCCTTTTGTGAGTGATATACTGCATGTACACCCATAGTATATTTGTATTTGTGTATGTATGATAGTAGCAAAGTAGTAAAAATTGAAAATATTGATGCTGCATTTTTCAGCTCATTTGTATGTAAGAGATTAGACGTATAAACATGCAGCAAATAACATAACGGATGTTGAAATGATCATGTACGCCTTTAACTGATAAATCGTTTGCAATGTCAATATGGAACGACGAATGACAGGATTGGAGCACAAGTGATTGCGTGTACAGTCAACTAAATATAGATTATAAAGTTTTGAGGGCTCCTTCTTAGCAATGCAGTCTATGTACTGTACAGTAAAGCGAAAAGGCTTGGTTCATACCTAGCCCTAGGATCGAACAAAATAAAGGAAAATTAAAAATTTAAGCTTTAAGTCAATACCATGCACCCAAAAAATAAAGATCGGGGTCGGTTGTTCGAAAGCCGATCAGCTTAACCGCCAATAGGCTCAGACCTAAAATTCAAAGCAAACTTCCTGGCAGCTTGTTACAAATTTGGAAATGATTCTTCAGAAATCTTGTCTGGATCAATATAGGAGTTTACTTTTCTGAAGTTTTTTGAAATAATCAGAAGTGCAGAAATACACAAACTAAAACAACGGGTTAAATTTTAACCGAGGGTTAGCGTTAACCCACCTTTGAACAACTGGCCCCAGGCCTGTAGCTGTCAAATTATACCTTTCATGTGTCTTTGCGATATAAAATGGCCCAATACAATCCGATTTAAAATGGCCGATCGAAACATTGAAATTATTTAGCAACGAAATTTCTTTATCATGCATAACATTTACGAAAGTGGAAGTTTGCAAAGAACTCCAAATGGAAAAAATGTTCGAAAATTCGAGGGATCTTTTGGATCTGGGGCCGGTTGTATAAAAAAGTGATTAAAGTTAATCATAGTTAAGTGGAAATGTCATCCAATAAGAAGTGCCTATTTGAGAGTTAACTGATCACTATTTAACTACAAAATAGTGATTAAAAAAGTGATTAAGAGTTTTATACAACCGGCCCCTGATCTAAAACTCCACACGAGTCAGAACACGAGTGAACATGAACACGAATGGAACACGAGTGAACACGAATGGAACACCAGTGAACACGAGTGAACACGAATGGAACACGAGTGAAATATGATAAAATCATATCCACAATATATACTTGCAAGATGACGTGCTAAACTACCAAAAGCTCTTGTTGTCGAACATAAGAACCAGGGCCGTATCTTCGGTATTGCGCGGCTGGGGAGGTGTGAGCTTGTTTTGCCTTTTGCCCGACCAAAAGGGCGTAGCCGAAGTCGTGCCTGACGGAGATTTCAATCGCTAATTAATATTTATTTTCCCAAAATTGTTGGGGAGCGGGG